AAGAATTCATCTTTTCTCATTTGAGTACTTGAAAAAAGGTAAAAATATAATTAAAATTTTCTTCACAACTTCCCTATTTAAGCATGACCAACCTCTCACATTCTTGAGCAGAGTTCGACATCAAATAATAAGATAGCAATCAGCAGTAAGTAAAACATGACTATTACCGTCCCTTTTCTAATATTCCATTAATTCAAATGATAGAACATGTTCTGAGGCCAAAACATAATTGTCCCAGAAACCCAGACAAAGCACGAAGATGGACTTCCCATTCCGACCCTGAGAACATATTGACCAAGATGGGCTTGGAAATTATATTCAAGCAACAAAGACTCCGGGGCAGCACAAAGTTGAGCAATTAGTTGGCAAAAATCTGCCACATTTTTCCTTATGGCCCACAAACTGAATGCAAACACAAACTAAATACCACTGAGATCAAACGTAAAAGCACAACAAAGAAATAAAGGCAAGGTTCTCAAGCATAATAATAAAATGAAAGGAATAGTCAAAGATTTTGAATAATAAATAAGAAAGTATTCTAGCTATCTAAGACCTATCAATACCTACTTTAGGATGGCCATCAACTGTCATGTGTAATCATTTATAAAGCAAAATTTGTACCAAGAAAATTAGGGAACGCTCACCAGGAATTAAGTTGTGGTTAAAGGCGTACAAAATTGCAACGGGAGCTGCCCACATAATCAAAGATGTGATAAAGAACTTATTCACGACTCCCGCCATAGTGCTACCAACATGTGAAATAAAACAGAATGGATGAAGTATAACTTGATAAAATCATTTATGGAAGGCCAGAAAAAGAAAATCAATTAAAAGCACCTGAATCATGAAAAAAGAAGGAAGTTCATAAAGTACTTTTGCTTCGAATGGAACATAATATGTCATTACAGGCAGATGCGAATCCAGGATTTAAATTATATGGGTTTAACCTTTAAGGGTTTTAGCATTAACACATTATATTTTTAAAGTTAAAGGTTCATATCTACTATTTTTGCGATTTTAATAAACTTTTACTCTGCGTCTAAAGTTATTGGTTCAATTGAACCCGTTGGTAACACACTACATCCGCCCCTGATTACAGGCTGAAATCTCATCCAAAAGATTTTTCTTTTCCTTCCTATTTTGACTTCTTTGAAGTTTCTTTCCGTTGCCACAGCTGACAAAAAGACATTCTTTTAGACATTCCTATGTAGAAAAACGAATTTTTCCCAGTAGTTACTTTACCAGATCTTTATTCTTCTTTTACTTTCAAACCCAACTTGCCTAACCTTGATAGTAACCAAAATTATTTCCCTACAGTGAAATAAACAGATTGTGTGTTAACTATCATAATTCCAGGATATGGGTCTTGGATCTTAGATCAGAAGTATAGGTTCCAACATGAGTTCATGTGAATTTCATCTCAAGAACAGAAAAACTCAATAAACCCAGATAATAAATGCAGAAATAATGCAAAAAGATAACTAAAAATTGAATTTTTATGATAAATTAGAGTTTAGTTGATAACCCAACTTGCAATTTGATGATTTGGCAGTAGCGGAATTGCGGGAACAACAGCGAGACAGTGAAAAGACAAAAAGGAGGGAACTTACTAGTTGAATCTAGAGAGAGAAAAAGCTGCAAAAAGAGTTAGCATAGCAATTCGGTTTGATCTGAGTAAAAGTGTCAGCTATCCAATCTGAAAGAATTTCCGATTATATATTAACTCTGTTTTTTTTTTAGAGGAAGGAGCTCTGCTGTCTGGCTGTCTGGGCTTTCTTATGTGGCTTTACCTTTGGTCTTGCCCTCCACAAAAAGAAAGAATATATATAGCCCCTAAAAGAAAATTTAAAAAAAAAAAAAAATTGCTTAACATAAATGGTAGTAGTACATTAAGTGGGCGTTTGGACATAAGAATTGTAAAATTTCGGAAAAAGGTGAAATAAAAATAGTAGTATTTAAAAAATTAGAGTTGTGCTTGGACATGAATATAATTTTAGGTTGTTTTTGAATTTTTGTGAGTGATCTAAGTGAAAATTTTGAAAAACAGCTTTCTGGAGTTTTTCAAATTTTCGAAAAATTTCAAAATTCATCACAAGTGAAAATTGAAAATTTTATAACCGAACACTGATTTAAAACAAAGTGAAAATTTTAGTAAAAAAAAGTTTAAAAAATTTCATGGCCAAACAGGCTCTAATTTGAGCAATCAAGTGTTTCTACAAAATCAATTGAAAGACTACATGTTTCTTTTACATAAATAATTATTATTATTTATGATTTATTTTATGGTACATAATTACTAATGCTATGTTTGGAGTTGTAGAATATAGCTAAGGATTATGTGTCACAAATATAGCCATAATAGAGAAAGAATCGACCCCAACAGCCAATTCGATTCACAGACTGCTTGTCCGACTGAATACCTTGTTAGAACGACATCATAAAATGTATAACCTTTCAATTGTTGGACTGAACAAAAGTTTTTTGGACTTGCTCTTTTTATCTTTTTCATATTAACAAAATATTTTTAATTATTAATTATATTGAGTTATAGTAGTTTTATGGACTTTCAAAATATGTTTATATTTTTTTACAAAATTTGAAAAATTTAAGTTTGAATTCATACTGAAAATTGAAAATTTTGTTCCACCTACTCTGTATCCCACCACATAAATGAAATAGATCAGTACTATTAGATCATTGATTAATTAACATCTGATTAGCAACTAATACTCCTAATTAACGTTAAAATAACTTGGTTTTGTTAAAACATCAGTTTTATTCGTTGTATTAGATTGAGGTTGGAGTTGGGTTAGGGTGAGGCCACAAAGGATTGCGCCTCTAACTCAAAAAAAAAAAAGGAATAAACAAATAAATATGTAAGAATTCCTTTCTTTCCAGATTGATTGTCCACCAAATACATGCTGGGACAGTCCTCCATCTATCTCTGTCTCTTGCTCCAGCTCCAACTTCATCCCAGCTAAAAAGCACTTCAGTAATGTTAGTAGGCATTGTCCAAGCTATACCTCTGAGATTAATAAAGATTTTCTATACCTCTAAGATTAACAATTACTCTAATTCTACTTATATAATTAATCAAGTAGGCCCAAAGTTGCATTCAAGCCCAATTCTTCTTAAATCTTATCAACCCCAAACCAATCCAAACATAACCAAGCAGCTCCTAAAATCCAATTAGCTAAACAAACTTACTGCCATACCATCGAAACAGGCTAATACATCATTCTAACAATTGTATCAAGCACACGACTAAACTCAAAGAAGCAAAAGATTAATATGAACTTATCCAAAACAATGTTGTCAAAGGCGAAAAGCTCTAAAAAGCGCTCTAGGTCAACTGTGGCTTTAAGCGCAAAGCGCAATTTAAGTGTGAGCTTTAGTTAAAAAGGCGCAATGCAAGAAAAATAAAAATATATATGTAATTTAAGAGAAAAGTAACAAACTCATTCATATTGTTTTCCTTAACAATCAATGCACTTATTTGCTCATTATATTTGTAGTCTAGCATTGCTCCATTCAAGATAGAGCTCATGGGCAATAAGGGGCACATCTTGGTGCCTTGCCTATACTGAAGCGCAACTTAAGTGAGGCGAAGCATCCTCCCCAAGCTTCTCTGAGCTTCAGGGCTTAAGCGCGCCTTAAATGAGCCTTTGACAATACTGATCCAAAAGATTTCAATGAAGCTCATAAAGGAAGTACGTATCTTCAAAAAAACAGAAAAATGAATTAAGACAATGAACAAAGACAAAATAACACCGACGAGATGGTGTTTCATGGCTGGTTTTTGCTGGGTTTGGGGTTGTTTTTTAAGTCGAGTTTTGGTGAGTTTCAGGACTATTTTGGGATTGGTTTGGGGTGTTTTGTGGGGCTGTTTTAAGGTGAGTTTACAGTTGGTTTGTGTGGGTTTAAGGTGGAGGAATAAAGCTGTAAAAAGGGACAATTTTCGTGCTCCTCGAGCAGCTGCTGCTGCTGCGTTTTTGCTACTGGAAATTGGTGGTTTTGGTTGACATTTTCAACATACTTTGGGGGCTGCTTGTTGTGAGTTTAGGGACTTCTTCGAGCTGCTTTTGGGGGATTTCGTGGCTGGAAACTAGTGAGAAGCTGCTCCAAGCACGCATGATTTTTCACTCCTCAAATAGAATCTCAATTTACCAGAAAAGGAACACCGGACTATTCAAGGCAAATCAATACTCTGTGCATATTACTTCAAACGTTCAAGACATAAAATCGAAATCTAACCACCGAACTTCTGAGATTTTTGAACATAACATTAACTACACCTCAAACTAACAACACTTAATGCTCACACGAGACGCAGCATCCGTTTCCATACTTGTTTTTGCCATTATCACTTAGATCCACAGCATGTTCCAGGTATCAGTTAAATCAAACACTTCAATCAAAGTTATAACATTGCACTTGTGCTAAAACTAAATTTCAACAGATTCAAACAACTGAAGCACATGAACTAGAAGTACATCCAAAATTTCATTACGAATCAGAGATGAGATACATGATTGAGATATGTACCTGGTCGCTTAGGAATCAACCTTAAATTGCCAAATAAAAGCTAGAAAGGAGGAAAAGTTGGAGTTCAGATGCAGTTTATTCGCAAAACAGCTTCAATTACCAGTTGAAATCAACTTGAAACCCCAGGGAAGTATGAATAAAATCTTCAACACTCGATTTCACCTTCTTTTTTTTTTTGCGTTTTTTCAGAGCTTTTGTTTTTGTTCTCAGACCTTCAATGGAGCCTTCTTTTACATTAAAACATTAATATTGCTTGCTTTATACTCCAAGAAATTGCAGGTCTTCCGACACAAGTTCCTTCGTGTGATTTTAGGTCTATCTTGTCCCCTTTTAAAACCTTCACTCATATAGTTTTCACCTACAAACCGGTGCAACTTTAACCATTCTCTCAGTTTAAGCTCTATGTGTCCTATTTGCACCTTCTGCTACACGTGACTACATTTAATCTTGTATGACTTCACATTCATCTTAACATTCACATTTCTACGATATTCTTTAATGTCAATTGACACTAATCTGAATGTCTATTTTCTTAGTCAAAATTGAAACCATAATCATCCAAATGGTCTCAACTACATATATTCCTCCTATATATCACATAACCAAATAGATCTACCTTTTACTAGAGTCATAGACAAGTAAACATAAAACATCATATCAAAAACCCTAGCGTACAACAAATAAATACAAGTATCAATTTCTAAGAGCAAGATGCTTCAACATAAAAATCAAAAGACATATGGGGAATCGGTAACAGAAACAAAGCCTAACCTTTTGCGAGGAGAATCGGCCTGCAAAGAATCAAGCATATGTTCAATTAGTTGAATTGGCAACAATAATCAGAGAAAAATGGATTAATGCAATCAATGTCTAAAACACACAAAAACACATACTGATACACGCAGGAAGATGAATCGCAGGTAGGATGAGAGAGAGCTCTTACCATTTCCCACGAGACGAGAAAACCCAAAATCGCCAAAAGGGGAGAAAGGGAAAACGATGTAATGTGGCAATTATACTTCAGACTCGTGCCATAATAAGGAGTACAAGAAAATTAGGTGAACACCTTAAATTACATTTATACCCCAAGGCTTTTGTAAAATTACATTTATCGGGTAAGTATTTGCCTTAACCCCTTGTGTTTCTCATTGTTGAGAGGAGCACAAGTAAAAACTTCATCCACAAATTGTCATGGTTTTCTCTAAGGGAATCTTACGGAAATATCGCCAAAAAAAATATCAGCTTATGTTATTTTAGCCATTAATTATAGATTTATTATAGAAGCGGCAGTGACCAGCGTGTTCTTCACACTCCATCTCCATGTGTTTTGCTCCTGTTAAAACATTAGGATCCTCCAAAAAATTCCACCGATTCTAACAATTCCACGTACCTAAATTATTGCACCAGCGTTGCTCCTAATTTCAACTCTGCTCGAAACCCTAGTCCTGTCAATATTTCTACTGTTAGAAGTGTTATTGTGCGATTGGATTCTTCTTCTCCACATCTGTCTTTTCGAGCTTCTAGGGTTAATTTTTGGCAGATCAACACACTGTTCGGCTGGCTTGGTTCTCCTCCACATCTGAATTGGTTAGTCATTAGAATTCATCTTTCTCTATTTTCCCGATGTCCTTCATACTGTACTATTTGGATTTCTGCCCTTGTGATTACATCATAGCTGTTGACGGAGGTGAGAGTTCGATTTATCCAAATACTTTTATGTCCCCTTTTATTTTGCTCCTTTTCCTCCTCGATTTTTGTTGATTAACAATTCATAAAATTTCCGTTCTTGATAAAAATTCAAGCTTTTCACACTTTTTCTAAATACCCATTAAGAGCTTCAGAATTTTCAAACTAATTGGGATCAAGACTTACTTGCTTAAAACAGTCTTAAGGCTAAGCAGCGTCTTGAAATGGGTGTTTTCGATTTCGGATGCTTCGTTACAATCTCTTAAGGTTTGAGGAAATTCGTAGAGATTTAAATGGGCTTCGGCGCTATTACAAAGAGTTAAACAGAGGGATTTTCTAAGAGGTTATTTTCGATTTCGGATGCTTCCTTACAATCTCTTAAGGATTGAGGAAATTTCTGGAGATTTAAATGGGCTTCGGCGTGATTACAAAGAGCTAAACAAACGAATTTTCTCTGTTTTGAGAGATTATCTGAATCAAGATTTTTGTAACAAACGAATTTTCTCTGTTTTGAGAGGTTATTTGAATCAAGATTTTTGTGGGTGTTTGGGTTCTACTGTTGGAACTATTTGAATGAGATGGAAATGTAATTACCGGCTCTATTTTGCCGAGGAAAATATTTTCGTACAAGAAACAGGGACATCTTTAGAGTTTTAAAGCAAAACAAATATAGGTTCCTTAGATTAAAGGATCATTACATCTACATGTAAATACTCCTTGTCTTTTCCAACAGCGGATATTGCACAGAATTTTTGAATGTTATAGCTAAGTGTTGTTATAAAGAATATTTATTTCTTTTTTTTGTTTGATTTATTATTTCAAAATTTTCACAAATTGAAACTCCTATTCTTCTTTTGTCGCTGTAAATCTTATATGGTTAAACAAAAATGTGTATATTAAAACTAGTAGCAGTATGATGTAGCATATAGTCAATGGGTTCAACAGATCTCAATATTTTCAATATGGAAAATATATATAGATATAAGAAAATTACTATTTTTTTTTAAATAAAAAAATGAACTTATAATTCCAAATGTGCAATGGGTACGCACTCGTAAAAATTAAAGGTTGAACTCGTAAAATTTATATTCTGGATTCATCACTTTTTAATAGTGCACCCATCCTAAATAGTGCACCCATTAAAATCAAAGAAATCATTATATTGACCATGAAAGTTTTTTATATGTATAAATTGTAAGGAGTAACTCTTTATAACTTTCCAAGGTAAACCTAAGTGCTAAAGAGATACTATAAATCACCCAGAAGAAAATACAAGCAACACCTTTACCTTGGTCTCTAGCAGACCTGGCATCTGAAAGCTAAAGAGATAATTTGTATAAGTATTCTTCGGTGAAATTTTTTTTAAAAAAAAGAAGAACAAATTACCGTCAAAATCGACAACAATAGTTGAATAGCCCCATTAGCCAACCTCGAAAGAGAGAGTGCATGGGGTGAAATGATTAACTTATCGACAACAATAGTTGAATAGCCCCATTAGCCAACCTCGAGAGAGAGAGTGCATGGGGTGAAATGATTAACTTAAGACCGTCCTGGCACTTAGGTGTTGAACAAAAGGGATGTACACTAGAACAACTTTAAGCCACTTAGAGAGCAAATTTCCAAAAATAACCCCAAAGCAGGAATGGGAATTTCCAAAACTAAGCCCGAAGCAGGACGAAGAGCACCTCAACTCCCGCTTCTAAATAAGTAGAATTTAAGGAAAACAACAAAAACATCAAGACAGATACATATTCAAATGCTAGGAGAGGTAACAACGACAACAATAAAACCCAATAAAATCTAAAAAGTAGGGTTTTGGAAGGGCAATGCTTACACAGATCTTATCTCTATCTTATGAAGGTATAGATGTTGTTTCCAATACACCAAATTCAAATGATAGGAGAGGTCAAATAATTATCTATACTGATCGTGAATGATATTCATGAGCCAGATACAACGTAAATATATGAACCAAGAAGTGGAATGAAGATGAAAGTACAAGCCAAACTATAAGCAAAATGTGTGGTGTGCTATGCACCAACCAATATAACCAAGTTAAACTGGAAACAAAGTTCTCCACACAACGATCACAAGCTTTAAATATTACAACCAAGTGGAAGATTATAATGANGCAGTAGCGGAATTGCGGGAACAACAGCGAGACAGTGAAAACACAAAAAGGAAGGAACTTACTAGTTGAATCTAGAGAGAGAAAAAGCTGCAAAAAGAGTTAGAGTAGCATAGCAATTCGGTTTGATCTGAGTAAAAGTATCAGCTATCCAATCTGAAAGAATTTCCGATTATATATTAACTCTGTTTTTTTTTTTAAAGGAAGGAGCTCTGCTGTCTGGCTGTCTGGGCTTTCTTATGTGGCTTTACCTTTGGTCTTGCCCTCCACAAAAAGAAAGAATATATATAGCCCCTAAAAGAAAATTTAAAAAAAAAAATTGCTTAACATAAATGGTAGTAGTACATTAAGTGAGCGTTTGGACATAAGAACTGTAAAATTTCGGAAAAAGGTGAAATAAAAATAGTAGTATTTAAAAAATTAGAGTTGTGCTTGGACATGAATATAATTTTAGGTTGTTTTTGAATTTTGTGAGTGATCTAAGTGAAAATTTTGAAAAACAGCTTTCTGGAGTTTTTCAAATTTTCGAAAAATTTCAAAATTCATCACAAGTGAAAATTAAAAATTTTATAACCGAACACTAATTTAAAACAAGTGAAGATTTTAGTAAAAAAAAGTTTAAAAAATTTCATGGCCAAACAGGCTCTAATTTGAGCAATCAAGTGTTTCTACAAAATCAATTGAAAGACTACATGTTTCTTTTACATAAATAATTGTTATTATTTATGATTTATTTTATGGTACATAATTACTAATGCTATGTTTGGAGTTGTAGAATATAGCTAAGGATTATGTGTCACAAATATAGCCATAATAGAGAAAGAATCGACCCCAACAACCAATTCGATTCATAGACTGCTTGTCCGACTGAATACCTTGTTAGAACGACATCATAAAATGCTTAACCTTTCAATTGTTGGACTGAACAAAAGTTTTTTGGACTTGCTCTTTTTATCTTTTTCATATTAACAAAATATTTTTAATTATTAATTATATTCAGTTATAGGAGTTTTATGGACTTTTTAAAATATGTATATATTTTTTTACAAAATTTGAAAAATTTAAGTTTGAATTCATGCTGAAAATTGAAAATTTTGTTCCACCTACTCTGTATCCCACCACATAAATGAAATAGATCAGTACTATTAGATCATTGATTAATTAACATCTGATTAGCAACTAATACTCCTAATTAACGTTAAAATAACTTGGTTTTGTGAAAACATCAGTTTTATTCGTTGTATTAGATTGAGGTTGGAGTTGGGTTGGGGTGAGGCCACAAAGGATTGCGCCTCTAACTCAACAAAAAAAAAAGGAATAAACAAATAAATATGTAAGAAATTGAAATTAAAAAATTGTATGGTTGTGATCATGAAGTCTCAATAATTTAATCCGTTTTTAGAACATACCAACGCTTGTGCCTCTTTTAAGAGGGAAAAAAAGGAAAATGATATTATATAGTCGCTCTCAAAATAACAGTCGAAGTAATATATATTTTTTGTGTATATATATATCTGCATGTTATATAAAAAATTTGTACACTTTTTCGGCTATCGAATCTAAATAGTTTCTGGCGCGCCAAAAATTATATTAAAAAAAAAAAAGAAACTCGTATAATTTTTCATCATGTGATGTTCTCCTTATTCATTAATTCGAAGTATTCCATTACAAGTGATACTAGTATCATACGGTACTAAGCTATAACTAGAGGAAGATACAGTAATAGTGCTACTACTATTAACATACATAAGATAACTAGAGGAAGATACAGTAATAGTGCTACTACTATTAACATACATAAGATTGTTTGCATTGTAGTTACTATTACATTCAACCGGTGCCTGTGATGATAGGTGATAATAGGTAAATTAGACTATAATTAGGCCCTAAAGAACCACATTTTTGTATAGCTTTTACGGTAAAAAGTGATAACAAAATGCTCTGATTAGTGTTTTTCATGCTTTGCAGGCTATATCCAATAAAAGAAGTCTGTGGAGTACTTTTGGGATCAATTACGGAGAAAAGGGGGCCAATCATGCAATATCCACAAAGTGCACCAAGCGAAGGGACAAAACCAGAACTGAAATTGGTCTGCCGCTGTCCGGGCGTAACTGCGGTAGGACCGCGGCAGGACGCGTAAACTTCAGGGACCAAATTGCAAAACACTGAATTTTAAGCCCTAAACCCTATATTAAACGAAGGAAGCCGGCCAAGAAAGAGAAGGACGCCATTTTGGA